TGCATGGCATATGCACTTTGGTGCATACCCCTTTTTCTCAAGAACACAAATTTCCTTTGGATCTCTCCTCATTGGTTGTCAAAGAGGCCGGTTAGACAACGGACAGAGAGTCTTCCACATCGCACGAGATTTACACTCGGAATCAAGATAGACCGCGCAGTTCATGCAGCAAGGAGATAACTTTGAGAGCTCTGTCAATGGCGGCAAGCGATCTTAACAAAATGAACAAGTTGTTGAACTAGGCAGGGGGAAAGTATCGCTGAACAAGGTTTTGGTACTTAGTTGAGACTACAAGGAAAGATGTTGACAAGTCCAGCCGGTCGTATTTGCACCTATACGCGTCTACTTTCTCTACCTCAGGCAATCTGACGACTGGAGTCGCCGCGTCTTCAAAAAACCGGCCAAGGATTACTCTGACACCTGATTTGAACGCATAATGATAGAACCCGAACTTTGTGCGACCCCCGGGAGTCTAGCGGACTCGGTGCTATATAACGGAAAGGAGTAAGCGACCGAACATCGTAGTTGGCGTATCGAAAGAGAAGTCTTGAGGTATTTTTTGAAGAGGAATGGTTTAAATCATCGCCACTCACCCAGTTTTCTCTCAAGGGCGTTCACCGCAGGTTCTCCTGCACTGTGAAATGGCATGTCCGTCATAAATGCCAAGATCATCCATGCATTGCTGCACGCACTAATGAGATCTGTTAGCTCAACCCATTACGCGTTGTCAACTCACACCTACAGCCGAAAGCTGACGCTTCTCAGCTTCCACAGAGCTTGCCGCAGTGGTCACAGCCATGATGGCGGTCAGGAGCGTGACGATGGAGAAACGCATTTTGAGACTTGAAGGAGGTTTTGTGAGTTGAAGACGGTGATACAGTCAGACTTGAAGATGTTCAAATTGTTGATCTAGTGCGATTGATGAGATCGAGTTATAATCTGGCTTCCTGGATGCTAACATGTAGTCTTTATAGCTCTCTGGCATTAACAACATTGGACAGAGAATAACATTCTCGGCAATACATTCTTACTTCCCACATTAGCAGAGATAATTGCTAGAGTCGCTAGTCATCTTGGCGGAGAGACGGCTAGCTGACAATTACCCTATGAGACCTGCAGTTCTGGATGTAAGGGTAAGAGTAAAATCCTATAGGATCTGCCAAGCTATGGAGAGTAAGCGTGGCAACGTTCTCACTTTCCTATATGGGACTCAATCGGCAGAATGATAAGACAGCCGAGATTCAACTCAGGTTGCCTTCCTTTCAAGAACTAGGCGCTTCGCACTTATTGTGCAAGCCCAGCATCCGTAAATCTGAAAACGAATTAGTACGTGATAATTGACTGTATAGCTGTGGCACAGCTCCGTGATCCGAGACAGGCTGCAAAATATACCTGTCGTTGATCCTTTCGCCTCTTCATACCTGCCCGTGTAGTCTTAGCCCTCATCTGAGTTCTGACGAATTGATTGGAAACATTTCTATACCTGATGGTTGCACAACAAGAAATTCTTGGTGCTCTGTTACGAAGTATGGCAGGTCTAGGCGTGACCTTCAGCCATACTCATCTGGGCATGTCATTCATTGGCCAGCTCGGACTTGTTCAGTCTAAGGTAGGATCCTAGAACCCAATTCAATCCAAGAAATTGCAAGTACTGTGTCTTGTAAACACTAAGACTCAACCTATAACGAGCATTGCTTTGAAGGCAGCCTGGACAGAGCTTGGAACTACCCAGGTATCCCATATCTACACCATGACTCTCACAAGATGGGTGAATACTTGTCTAGTAGCTCAGTATCACATTGCACATAAAAACCATTCGGATCAGGACATGCGATCAAACAACCCGTCAATTCCAAGGTAATAAGGACTAAGGGCCCCTTCAGACCAAGCAAAGCACGGGCAGCGACTGACTCATTCAGCCATGCTCGACGAGTTGATCTATCAAGGCTTCCTAGCATGAAGTTATGAGCTCTGATACGCGAGTCACATATGGCCTAAGTACTGAGACTTCGAGTCGAGCATTTCTCTTGCATGTTCACAAGACTCTTGAACCGGCCGATGAACCTGTGCTTTATTGTAAACAAGATGGGTGTGCAATTTTAGTGCTCAAGGCTCATCATGTGTTCGGTCTTTTGAGTGTTCACGAAGCGTTGTTGCGTAATTCTTCGGGGAACTTCGCAGGGAATTGCTCCGTTCTGTTCGTGTCATTGCCGTGTGGCTGCTCGGCGGGCAAGCTCCCATTCTTAAGGATAGGTAGTGTAGCTGCCACGTGGGAAGTGAGAATTGGGCAAAAGTCTATTCTATCACTGTGTCGCGACATCTCGTAAACGACACAAAAAGGCCCGCGCTTCCCATGGATCGAGTCATTCCCGAATCTGGACCGAGCCGGGCAACCAAGGTGCCTGTGCCCTTGCGGAGTCGAACATGCCGCTCCACGTCCCGTGGCAACCTGCCGTCTCTTTATGCTCTGGAACGACGGCTACAAACCTTGTCCGAGTCCACGACAGCGTAGCTCGCGTGGGCAGTAATTTGGGCTCGCAATTCTCTAGCTAGCAGACAGTCTGACTCAGTGCAGCGAACTTGACGATGAAAATCGTCCGTTTTGAGTTTGGCTTCGCACCGACAACTGCATCGCACAAATGTCTCATCCGCATGCGCCGCCTCCCCGGCAGGCCTGGGTTGCTCCGATCCACATAGCCTCTCGTTTCGCTCGATCTAGACTGCAACCGGCTGTAGCGACAATAAGTGACCTCATAAATAGGGTGGAGCCCCCATCCTTTCAACACGCGCAATGATCTCGTAATCATGGCTAGGCGTTGGGTCTGGGCTTTTTCCCATCACGTTTATGATCACGCCAGGTGGACAGGACGACTTGCCTCAACCCTCAGATGACACGCAGCCATGAGCTGGACCAGACTGCGCATCGCGGTTTGGCTAGCATGCCTCGCCGTGGATGTGATAGCAGCATCCACCTCTATACAACTGACCACAATATCAAATGCAACTTCGCCCGGGGTAACATCACCTGCCCCCCTTGACCCGGCAGCAGCCGCGATGGAGCAGATGGCAGCCTCGTTATCCCCATGTGCAGTAAGACCCCACTGATCTGCTCTTTTAAGTGAACGTTAACTCAAGGTAACGTAGTTGAATTGCACAACGAGAGAGGTTGCAAAGTCGCCTTGCAACGCTACCGACTTTACGTGTATTTGCACAAATCGTTTGCTCAACGGAAACATTGGCGCATGTTTGGCACAGCATTGCACTGTGACTGAGTCTCTACGTATGACATCACTTGTTTGGAAGCGGTTTTCTTTCGAAGCCCATCTATCATTTGGTTCAAGTCTACAAGACGTTGCGCATAGATCATGCTGACAGGCGTCTAACTATCAGAGGCACAGAGATACTCGAAAACGTCTTGCAGAGTGCCCGTTCGTCGCAACACGGATCAAGGCCCCATCACATGGACTCTCTTCTCTATTGCGCTGGTGGCTCTAGCTGCTCGACTGATCTCCAAAATTCCTTCTCTGAATCCTGCATTCTCGTTCGGCTGGGACGACTGGCTGATCCTTGCATCTACTCTTGCGCTGATTCCAGCAGACATTGGATCGCAAATTTGTGTGTTCACGAGCTGACATCCTTATTCAACAATCATGACTGACCATATCCGTAGTGATCGGTATAGGTCTGGGGCAGGACATATGGATGGTCTCTCCAGACAACATCACCCAGATTCTCTTGGTAAGGACGGGCCCCAATGGGTACCCCATGCTCCCAATTAGTGGGGAACTGATAGCATACTGACATAATGTCAAGCTTTTCTTCGTCGAGGAGCTTCTCTACTCATTCGTTGTGGCTGTCACCAAGTTGTCGATCCTCATATTCTACCTACGTCTCTTCGCCGAGACCTGGTTCCGGGTGGTTTGCTATGTTATGTTAGGGGTCACGACGGTCTATGGTATCGGGCAGATACTAGCTATCGTCCTCGTATGCTCCCCGGTGAGCTATAATTGGACGCAATGGGATGGTGAGCATCAAGGAAAGGTATGCGTCTAATGTGGCTTCACCCTGGCCTACTGCCATTCCTTTCGGATCACACTGGCTGATTTTGGGATTCCAACTAGTGCGGGAACGTTAATCTCATGGCATTTATCAATGGTGGAGTGAACATTGCCATCGACTTCATTTTGTTCATTCTGCCAGTCACTCAATTGTAAGAAGATGTCAGAGGTTGCTTAGTACTCGATTACTGATCAAAGGATGTAGTATCACTGTCTCGTGGACTCTCAAGAAGAAGATCGGCGTGAGCCTCATATTTTTAGTTGGTTTATCGTAAGTACCGCTATACATATCTCATTATGTCTTCTAGCGGCTACTGATTGCCCTATAGGGTGACGGCCTCGAGTGGGATCCGGCTGGCTACATTGGCGAAGTTCGGCGGAACGCAGAATCCGACGTGTGAGTGAGATCTTACAGACTTGTGGAGACCAGAACTGACTTCAGAATTTGCATACAGACGATTACAAAGAACTATCAATTTGGTCGTTGGTTGAGATGCACATGAGTGTCATTTGTGCGTGCATGCCGGGGATGACTTCTTTCATTCGACGAGTGTCACCGCGAATGTATCGCATGAAGCAGTATACGCCTCAGCAGCCAGACAGGAATCAGCCACGAACAGGGCGTTCCGTTGCTCGCCGCATTCAGGACACTTTGGCACGCATCACTACAATCAGGATAACGGGCAATCGCTCGGGTTGGGAGAGCTCACAAGCAACCGTAAAGAGCAGCGGCACAGAGAGTTCAACAACTAGCGACTCAAGATCAAACGCGTACAAAGACTACCTGACTTACGCACCTTATGCGGACGGTCAGGAAGGGGGAACTGAGTTGAACACGTTGAGAAGTAGGGAGGTTACGTAAACTTGTTGCAATGGTCCAGGAAGCGCAGTAGAAAAGTATCTCTATTTCCAAACTCTGTCTCTAACTTAAAACTCAGATGATCATCTAGAAAAGTCGGAACTTGGAAGATCATTGATGCTCCCAAGGCCCGCCGGTGAGGTTGCGATCCCGTCGTAAGTCCAGTTGAATTTCATCCTTTGCATGATAATCTCAGGCGAAACTTTAGCTGCCGCTACTCTTGAGTTCAGCTGAACCTGGGATGCGCGGCTACACCTGGCTTGGTTCCATTGCTTCAGCTTACCGGGCAAATCCTCTTTTGTGAAGTCTGGGTGAACTAGAATTCTGAATGCTTCAGCATCTTCCAAAGCTTGGTTGGCTCCTTGTCCTTGATACGGCACCATAGGGTGGGCTGCATCGCCAATCAAAACAGTCGAATCTTTCGTAAAGGTACTTAAAGGGTCTGCATCACGGAGTTGATATAGTTTGACGTCAGGCAAGGTTCTGGTAATGGTAATCAGCTTAGCGTTCCTTCATCTCGAAAAAAATGTTGTAGGGTAGCCCACTTCATGAGTTGTAGAAGCCATGATGGAAAGTCCTTAAAACTCTCAAGCATTTCGTGTACATCGCCATCCTTAGTCCAAGACTCTTCGGTCTGCTGCCGAAGCATACTGTCTGGGACAGCGCAAGCAAAGTTCATGACCTCCATATCGCGACAGGGGTATACAACAACGTTTCGGTTCGACCCGTCCGCCGCAATAAAGGAAGATAGAAAAACGCCGTTTTCATATCTGAGCACATCCGGAATTTCTCCGAGAACATCCGATATTCTGGAACGGCTAATGGTGAACCTATACAAAGAAAGGTTCGCGGGAGTTGACTCGGCGTAACACGGACCAGCAACAGCTTGACGGACTTTCGAATGAATGCCGTCCGCACCTGGATACTCTTAAGGTTCAGTCATCTTAGTTTAGCACAGCGACTAGACGTACCAATTATGAGATCCGCTTTGATTTCCGACCCATCTTCAAAGATTAAAGCTCGATCTTGAGGGTCAATTCGCACAACGCGAGAATTGTAGATAATCTTGGCAGGACGGCCAGATAGACCCAGATCAGGGCTTGTTGCAGCTCGTAGGAGAGCATCTTTGAGATCCTGGCGATGGACCATCCACCACTCAGAACCGAAGCCTTTGACGCAGTCAATCCTTGATTCTTTAATCAAGTTGCCGTTTCGGTCATAACTCCTGAAGCCATTAGATACAACAGCTTTCAGGGACTCTTTAGTAATTCCAAGTCTGGCGGCCATCTTCGAGCCATTTGGACCTAGCCCAATGGCAGCACCACTTTCTCCCGCTTCTGGATCATTACGCTCGTATATGGTGACATCATGAGCTTCTCGCAAGACACGTGCCGCTGCGAGTCCGGCTATGCCACCGCCGATGATGGCAACTTGAAGGGCTGTGGAACTTGTCATCTTATGTCCAGGCAGTAAAGCTTTTCTCCCAGCAGTCGAAAAGTCGAAGTCAACTCTTCTCAAAGTAAAGAAATCAGGGTAGAATTTGGGTGATACTGGTTTGAAATCTGACTCGGTTGTGTCATGCCCTCATGTTGGCTGGTGTGAAAAGTCGTTCGGCTTTGTAGTTGGTCACGGCTTCTCTCAATCGAAACTGACACAGCTAACACGTATTTCTGGAAGAATTATGACTCGGCTACCGCTTCTAACTCCCGGCAATGAGATAGACTTTTGTGCTATGCCCGTCGCTCTCGGGCGACAGGTGGGTCTCGAGAACACCCGGCTTTCGGAAACCGGAGTCCGGAAAACCCAATAGTATCTGTAGATCTCAACTTCCGTGCGACCAAAAATCTGTGACTACGTTGGCGGGAGTTTGGCATTGCTCAAGTCTCGAGACTTGCTCTGTCGGATGTCGGCCGTTTTGCGAAAACGGAAAGCCGGCTTTCTGGATCGATGAAGCAGCTTGAGAAGAGATGTGTGTGCTAAGACCCCACAAGCCCAATCCAATGAGGAGCTACTGATCGCTAATTATGTCTGCAATCTGTTACGCACAGTGGGTTATGGGAGTTTGAGGGGCATAGGGGCTTTTTTCTTCTCGAGATGAAGTCATGTCGTCAATGAATGGTGATGAAAAGGGGCAGTCTTGTCCGGGGCGATATACAAAAGGGAGTGTTGCAAGTAGAACTTGGACTTTTACTCTCGTCAACTTTGAATACATCGATCAAACCAGTACTGCCGTATACTTCTAGACATGTTCTCGACTGTTTGGGCCTGGGTCCTTCTATGCGGCGTTGCTGCTGCCCTCGCGTATCGCCGATCAGTTTCGAAGCTGTCTGGAATTCCCTTGGTTGGATTCGAAGTCAAAGACCCTAAACAACGAAAAAGCCAATATACCTTCAATGCTCCCGGTATTGTGCAGACAGGATACGAAAAGGTATGCAGCTTCGAACCTTGTGGTGGATGTTCCGGACTGAATAATTCCGTTAGTTCAAAGACAGAATCTTTGGCGTGGATACAGCAGATGGTACGAGCAATTTCATATTCTCACAACACTCCTTGATTACATGTGCTGACACACTAGGATAGGTGTCAAACTCATCTTTCCGCATCAATATGTGGACGAAATCTCGAAAGAGCCAGGACTTAGCTTCCAAAACTCCCTCGATGAAGTAAGACCGGGAGAGAAATGGAGCCAGGCTTGTCATACTGAGAAAGCTTAGGATTTGTTGATCGATTACACGTACATGGGCGGACTGAAGCAGTTCGCATTGTCCACTTTCAAGCGAGAAATCACACCTCATCTTCGTCAGTTTCCCCTTCAAGATGTTTTCGATGTGGAACTAACTTCCGCTTTTTCTAGCCATGTTCATTCCTGACTTCATTTCACTTGTTGACGGTTATATCCCCAACGCACTCACTGAATCCAAAGGCGAGTTGCGTATACATTCTCTCCAACTAGCCTGATCTACTTACAACAACACTTGACTAACGTACCTTCATTACCGATAGAATGGACTTCGGTCAACATCTATCCGAAAATGCTTCGTATGCTCGGCATACTAACAGCAAGAGTCATGATTGACAGTGATGCCCCTCACAATGAGACTTGGGTCACTCTGACCACCGAGTATCTGCATGCTGGGGTAAGGCACGCGCATGCTTTGAAGTTCTGGCCCCCAATGCTAAGGCCGGTCGTTCATCGATTTGTGCCAGGATACGCTGAGGTTCAGAGGCAACTCAACCTCGGAAGGTCTATAGTTATCGACGCTATCCGCAAAATTGATGAGCGAGAGAAGAACGGCGTACCAGAGCGTCAGCCGACGAGTGTGCTTTACCATATGTCTCGCAAGGCACCAGGTGCTTCTTCCGCGGTCATTGACATGCATCTCAAGGAGCAGCTGAATCTTGCTGTGGGAGGAATACACACCACCTCCGCCGTGCTCACCCAGACGCTTTTCGAGCTTTCGGCACATCCAGAGTATATCCCCGAATTGAGGAAAGAGGTGATTGATACTTTGGTCAAATTCAATGGGGAATTCTCGAAAGCTGCTTTGTGGGACATGCACAAGTTGGACAGTTTCATTCGCGAGACTCATCGCCTGAACTCGCCGAACCTCAGTATGTTGATCATTGATTGTTAGCCGTGAGTGGATCTAACGATATCTTAGCAACTTTACAGAGACGCGCTACCCAGGATGTCACCCTCTCAGACGGTACCTTCATCCCGAGTGGTACAAAGCTCGAGTTTCCGACGTTCGCCATCCACCGTGATAGTGAGTTCTTCGTTGACGCTACTGAGTTCGACGGATTCAGATTCTTGAAATTGCGTCAAGAAGATGACAAAGATGGCGGAAAGCATCACTATGTCAGCGCTCGCAGAGATATGTTGGGCTGGGGTTTTGGCAAGACGGCATGTCCTGGGCGATTCTTAGCCGATATCGAGATAAAGCTGATTGTCGCATTCATCCTGATGAACTACGATATCAAGAACCCGGATGGCCAAGGCAGACACGCGCATGTTCATTTTGAGAATCAGGTTTGCAATTCAATTGCTCAAGACTACATCGGCAATGACTGACATACGAGCAGGTTTTCCCTGACCCCGTCAACCCAGTGCTCATGAAGAAGATTCTGCGTGAGGACATTGACGAAAACGGTCATGTGAGACAGTAGAACAAGGAAGTTCACGTGAATTCGCCGGATCAGAGACAGATGATCAACCTTCCTTGATATGGGTATTCTAGTTACTTTCTATTTTGAAAATTGGAAAGTCAGCAATCGGCAGACACCTTTATCCTTATTGTGTGTATGCCTCTGCATTGAGTAATATCTCCTAGTAATAAAAGTAGCATATGGACCCTTTCCAGTGATCTTTGTGTTGCCCTGGTCCCCAATAGAGCTGTACTTGGCAATCATTGTCTACAATGTCACAGCTTGTGGTCAAAATCTGGGTGCGACATGACCCGGAAATGTGTAATGGTGTTCATCCCACCGGCATCGGTGGCCGAACCCCACGCGCCCGAGATCCCCATCAACATGGGTCGCTCGGATCAAATCCATCCCGATCGATGACAGCTTCAATTACTAGCTAGAGGTCTCCGTCCGAAGTCCGTCCGGGTGTTGAAGTGTTGGCTCCAACCACCAGTACTGACTTCCGGCCAGGCTGCCCTACTCCCTCATCCTTTCGCCATCCTTCCGCCTTGTTCACACCCCTTTCGGACACAATATTCCGAACTGGAACAACTGCGAACCTCCATGGCCAGCACTGTTATGATGAACTTGATTTGCTGCGTAGTAAAGTATGGCCTTTCAAATCGGGACGATTAACGATGCTGCGCCGAGGAATCGTGCCGTAAGTAGTCCCACCTTTCTGCTAGTGAAGAAGTACCGCATACTAATCCAGGCCTAGTGTGACTTTTGCTTCGAAAAGAAGGTAAGCACTTGCTGCGCCTCTATCGAAGTATTATGATTTGAATCTTCATGTTATACTGACCTCGTTTAAAAGATCAAGTGCGACAGAGAGGATCCTTGTGCCAATTGTCGAGCGGCCTCCGTGGATTGTTTACGCAGACGGCCTAAGAGAAGAATTAGACATGCAGCTTATGTGAGGTGCGTTTCCCAATCTTCTACCAGGCCACAAGAGTCTGAATTCGACGACACTAATTGACACATGGAAATGATGTAGAAATAATTCGTTGGCTATCACATCAACTCGGAGGAACCCTCCGTCGCCAAGAATAACGCCTCGCAGCCCACAAGCTGCTCCCCAACAATTACATGGCAACTCTTCAGTTGTTGAACAACGTTCAGAGCCAAAATTTCACGATGATGGAAACGTGCCAGGGGAAACACCTGCTTCTCAGAATAGCAAGCAAAAGTCAACTTGTTCCTCCACCACTGAAACGGGACCAGCTGCTGCACAAGCTCACAGTCATATTGGATCGGAGCTGGAGTCCCGCCTAGGGCTAGATGCAGGAAAACGAGAAGTTCTCAGAGCAGCTCTGGCGTTTTCAAAGCAGGCGTCCCAGCAGCTAAGCGTCATCGCGTACGAAGAGGATTCTTCGGAAACCTTTGATATATTCAGCGAAACATCTTATCCAACAGCCGAAAGTCTTTATCTGATCCTTTCAAGTCAGAAACCTCCTTTTCTTGTGTCTTGTCGAATAGTGCTGATAGAATTCAAGGTCCTCGAAAAAGTGTCGGCCAGTCTTTTACAATGGACATCGGGTCTGTCATTTCTGAAGAAACGCTTGAGCGTCAAGCCCTTGAACTGATTGAAAAGTCTGTAAATGGTGCGACGCGTGTTCATTACATAGTGACTGTGAACTTCTTTGTCTGGATGTATCTAGGAGCCTCCAACTATCATACGACAGGATCTATGATAGCCCAGCATATTCTGAAGAGGCGCCAACAGTATGAGAAGAACTTACAAGCAGCTTTATGCCGTATAGGCGTTCTGGACCAGCCAAGCTTGCCACTGCTTCAAGCACTGCTTTCCGGTGTGAGTATTGCGCGACTCGTTCTGTTGAATTATTCATGCTGAGACTTTCAGGCCATGTTTATGCTCCTCTCGGGGAAATTGGAGATGTGTTGGCAGTTGAGTGCGTCAGCATCGAGAGTATGCATGGCCTTGGGTGGACCTCGCCGGATCAGCTCTCAGACCATGGCTGCCCATGAGCTGCGAGAAACTAGGTATACTTTATCGATCTGCTACATGTTTGATAGAGCGCTGGCTCTGAGCATGAACCGCTGCCTATCTCTGCCCGAATTCGACATGAACCCTGCGGAGCTGGTGTCACCAGACGCAAAGAAGCCATATACTTCACTCATTCAAGTCTTTCTGCAATTGGCCGAGGTTCAATCCGAAATTGTTCACCACATGGAGATCAAGAACAGGAAAGCACGAGAAGATGTTGAAACAATCCAAACATTGCAAGGAAAGATGTGGAAAATAAAAGAAACGATCAGAGAGGTGGGGGTAATCGAGCACATGAAATAGGCAGAGAGCTTTTACTGATTGAGGATAGTGTCAAAAGCAGCCCTTGCATACCGAGGAAAAGTATCTTCAGGCCGAGTGGATGGGCGTAGATTTTGTCTATCATTCCGTCATGACATCGGTTGTCAAGCTCCACCCGTACCTAATGGATGATGCTGGTTTACACCAGCAATTGCTTGGTTACGCTCGCACATCTCTTAGTTCCCTATCTGAGATGTTGAGCATAGCTAAAACTCTGGTGGATTTTCACCTGTTTCGGGTTTCAGTTTCGTGGTAAGTCCATCTTCTAAGTTCAAGTTTCCATCGAAAACACGTAATCGTTGACAGCTGACTGCTTAGGCTTATTTTGTTATATCCCGTTTACCCCTTTTTCGTCATTTTCACCCACACAGTCAACACCTCGAGTCTTCAAGATTACAGCTTGATGACTCAGGTTACAACAAGCCTCCAGGAGTTTGCTGGCCATAATCCAGCTTTGATGGGAGTCCAAAAGCTTTTCGAGGAATTCGTGAAACTCTGCAAGCCTATCTTTGAGGTGAACAGGTCGATCGATGCCACTTCCCCAACAGTCCCAGTAACAGCAAATTTGCCGCCGCAAAAGACTACGCTGCACACACACCATGATAGGGGTTCTCAAGGTCTCTCGGGCCCTTCTGAGATAGGGCCCTTCACATCATTGGTACAGGATGCACTATCTATCCCGGTAGCAGGGGAACATGTAGCCAGCGGGATCACATTCCCTGACTTGAGCACTCTGGAGGAGAACGAGTTGCTAGCAGAGCTATACAGCACACATCCATCAATAGGCTGGATAGATGGCAATTGGTCAATATCGTAAACTTTTAAAGATTGAGTTGTAAAGGTTGAGGTCAATCAAGAAACATTCCTCCAGAGACATTCAAACTAGCACCATTGATCCAGCTTGCTCTCTCCTCCGCCAAAAACGCAACTGCAAAAGCGACATCTTCAGGCAACCCAATCCATCCATCCACAGGGGTCCTGGCATCGAATATCTGCGTCAGAAAGGCGCCGCCAGTTCTCTGCAATTCTCCAAGGAACTGTGGCGATTTGATGATACCAGGAGACACTGCGTTCACCGTACATCCGTAGGTAGGTGGTAACTCTTTTGCCAGACAACGGGTAAGAGTCGCAATCGCACCCTTGCTGGTGGCATATGCCAATTGTTGAACCTCAGGGTCTGTCGATACAGCAGAAGTGATGTTGATAATCCTACCGCCGCCACCCTCCGACTTGGGTGGGAGGTGCGGTAACGCTGCCTGACACACCAAGAATGGCCCGCGGACGTTGGTTGACATTGACGCATCCCACAAGTCGACGGTTGTGTCTTCTACTTTAGCAAGTGTTGCTTTAGCTGCGTTGTTGACGATGATGTCGATCTTCCCAAATTGGTCGACGGCGGCTTGCACAAGATGAGAGGGGCCGCTCGTGGTCGAAATGTCTGCTTCCACGGCAATCCAAGGGCTCGTCAGGCTTTCCCCAAGATCGCGCGCGGCGCGTTCGAACTCGGGCCAACCGTAGTTGATGACCATCGAAGCCCCTCGGGCTGAGAGTTCTCTAATAATGGCAGCTCCAATGCCGGACGAAGAGCCCGTCACTAGGGCTACCTTGCCCGCGAGCGCATTGGGGACGGCGTCTTTAGGGGGGTTGATTCGTTTGCGACTTGCAATAGCTTCCATGATCGAATCGTCCAGTCTGATGATTAATTATTTGAATATAGCAGGTTTGTTTTCTTCCAGAGCAGGTATCTATTCAAAAGCTTGAGGAGATATATTAGACACTATAGGCGCTTTCAACCTTCGCCTAAATTACTGGTCGTCAGATCTTGAGTGGGCCGGGGCATTCAGCACTGCTTCGAGTCGGACCACGTTCGCAGCCGGAAGTTGCACGGCGTTCAAAGAGACAAACGTCCGAAACCCATAACCACTGCTTAATACTACCTTATGATGAGATGCTTTCCGTCTGGTTGCCTAGGCACTCATGTTGGTGTCGATGAATCATGCCGAAACATGGGTCATTCATGGTTCGGATTTCGGCCGGAAACCAGTGTTGCCAGCTTCCGGTCTTCCGGCCCGTGCGACTGTGTTGCTTTGGATTTCTGCCAACAACGACAAGGAAGAAATGTGACGCATGAGTCCAGGATGTTACTGTATCAGCTAAAGACTCCTAGCTGGCCGATGCTCATCGGCAGAGAGAACGTCAGTGATCGCCTTGGCTTCACTTAAGGGGTCGAATGAAATCCTCGTGTGAGGTTGAAACGTGAACCATTGCGGCAGCACATCAGAGGAGCCTATCAACAAAAATGTCGACATCTTTTCAAAATCAGGCTGTAGCAGAAACGCGTCCGGATGCTGATGGTGTCACTGGCCTGGCCGTGTTCGCGACCGATTCATCAGGTGAGTCTTCGTGCGATATGGTGGTTTCCAGAGTCCAGGCTTTCAGGACCAATCGATGTGAGGAGATTGCTAACATTCGCTAAGGGCATCAACTCATCGAGGAGTATTTTGGCCGAAGCAGCACCATCAAGTCCGACAAAATCGGAAAGGATAGTGTATTCTGGATCTATTCGATCACGAAAACAATTACAGCGATTGCTGCTTTGCAGTGCGTGGAGCGAGGCCAGATCAAACTAGACGACGAGGTTTACGATGTTCTTCCTGAACTCGAAGACTTTCAAGTCCTTGGCCATGATCAAGCGGGCAACGTGACACTTCACCCACACAAGGAGAAGATCACTCTTCGCCATCTGCTTTCTCATACTAGTGGCATTGGTGTGGACGTTTTTGATCCGAGGCTTCAGGCCTGGCGGATGTCTCGTGGAGAACATCCGCAAACCTTTTCGGGGGACTCAAAGAAGGCATACACCATCCCTCTCCTCTTCGAGCCAGGCCATGGTTGGGCTTATGGAGGAGGCGTCGAGTGGGCCGGGATCCTAGTCGAGAGACTGAACAAGATGAAGCTCGGCGAATACATGAAGACCAACATCTTCGAGCCTCTGGAAATGACCAGTACAACATTCCATCCTGACAGAGATTCTACAATCAAGGAGAGACTGGTTGAGACGAGTACGAGAATCTCGGATGGCACACTCGTGCCCATGGAAGGCCCTTACCCCGCTGTCACGGAGGACGACAGTGGAGCTATGGGCCTCGTCTCGAGTGTACCGGACATCACCAAGTTGACAACTGACCTTCTTCAAACTAAGCCGATGATTCTCGGCGAAGAGTCTTTGAAGGAGTTGTTCTCGCCACAGTTCAGCGCCGACTCGTCATCCGCTGGGATGCTCGCTTATGGTGCAGTAAGTCTGCCATGAAATCATCACGTCGAGATGAGATACTAACAAATTTCAAGATGATGTACGGCCGGCTGACTGGAGAGGAGTATGATCCTTCAAAGGTTGGTCAAGCTCCAGGAGCTTACTTCATCAAGGATGACACTAGGATCCTGCCCGGCGGGACACTCGTCATGACAGGAATTCCGAACCTGGTCTGGTTTGTGAACCGCGAGAAGGGAATAGGTGGCTTCTACGCGAGCGCTATCATGCCGCCCGATGACGCCAAAAGCACAGAGTTGATACAAGGGTTTCTCGAGGATGTTTTCAGCGGAAAATAAGGGTCAATACCATTTCGTTGCGTTCAGATCCTCCAGGCAGCCACGATGTACATTTATCAAGATCTTGTGCAGCGTATTGAAATTATGCAGTAATTTTCTCTGAGAGTGCGGAAAGATCGGCGCGCCGTTCATTTCAACCCCTGGATTCAGCTGCTCGTTAGCGCCATCAGAAGACCCTTGTTGGCATCACCGCAGATCAGCTAGTGTTCCTCGAATTGGCCTTTATTGGTTAAGACTCGGATGAAAGACACATCCCAAGGAAGCAAAAGAAAGCACAGGATGCAGCCTTCTTGTTTCCCATACTGACTCTTTCTGCTCTAGCTTCTGAACCAAGACCACCGGGTGAGTCGAGGAGGAACCGCTATCACACAAAAGACCATGATTCCAGGTGTACTCGTCACACTAATCGAATGATCACTAATACACATATTTCGCAGTGAGATGCTCTCAAGTCAGCAACGGGGATAGTCCGCCATATTGCAAAGATATTGTGCATGCCCATGCTCATTGTAACAGAATGCAGACACAGATTGGATGTCATCCTTTGTTAGCATCTGTATAAACCTCCCACATTCATACAAAATGAAGAACGGGCCAAATTTGGCGAGTCATGTCCCGGGAGAACATTGCTGGGTGCAATAATCCTCAAGAACCATACTCAATTTGACGTCACTAGTACGAGCAGCAGCACTTTTCACCCGACTCGAACTAGTCCCGATCTTCCTTAGATTTATGCCTATACCCCAAAGATGTTCCCTTTGTTCGGGAGCTAGCGCCAGAACCTAGGTCCCCGCAGACGCTCCACGCTTGCCCTCCCTTCAGTGTGTCCCTTCTCTGCCCATTCCGTCAGAAATTCTCCATCACGAAAGGAACATCACAGCCAGAAGCACTTGAAGTAGATCAAAATGGCCGAAACGACGACATTGCCACATATCTCAAGCCTAGTTCAGCCTGCAATACGAACAGTGGTGTCTAGCGAGGACAACTGGAAGGGCAAGACGAGCCCTGCGGAGAGACGGAAGATCCAGAACAGGCTCAATCAGCGAACGTGGAGTAAGCCGCGCACCCACCTCATGCAACCTGCTTACGCCCGCCTTTGATTGCCCATCATTTGATGGAATTTTCGACCACATCTCGTCCAGTGACATGTGCTTACTCGTCTACTTTCGCGACAGGACAACGAAGAAAAGCTGAGAAGCAACAACAGCGCCAGGCGACGACCCGACAGTCCGGTACGGACGAAAGGAAACCCTCGTCCCTTCCCTCGTCCAGCAGCAGCCTGTCGCCGCCATCCTCCATCGTAGCAAGCTCGAAGTGGGCAGCAGCATTACCAGCCGCCTCCTTGGCCAATGATAATGGCACGACGACCTACGTGACGGTGGGAATGTCTCGGCAGGGCCTATGCAAGTCGAAAACGAGCTCGCAGAGAAGCGCCAAGTATACGACGCTGATGGCCTTGAAGTACATCGGACGGCAACGACAAATTGCAGACATTCGAGACGAGGACTTGGACGACATATATCAGCTGTTCCTACAGCACGCGCATGAGAGTAGAAGGAGTCCGAACCCGGATCCAATGTCGGATTCACTAATACCGCTTGTGCAATTCAATTTGTTCCGCGGCTTGATGGAGAACATGAGAACGTTGGGTATCACTATGCCCATGATCTGCGACGATGACTGCGTGTCTCCCTTTGGAAGCGACCCTATGTACAATGCCAACACCGCTTGGAATGTCCCGTACTTTTTGAAGCCGACGGAGACGCAGCTGACAACTATACACCACCCCTGGCTTGACTTTTTGCCCCTACCGAGGATGCGGGATAACTTGATCAAGGCTGGGGATGACTGGGACGACGAGGCGCTGTGTCTAGACATGGTAGGCGACGGAGATGCGCCATCTGGAAAAGGAGGTATGATTCTGTGGGGAGAACCATGGGATCCCAATAGCTGGGAGGTCACGGAGGACTTTGTCGAGAAGTGGCGGTGGATCCTTGAAGGCTGCGAGGAGATCATCAGGTCGTCTAATTACTGGAGGGCAAAACGAGGCGAAAAGAGGATGAGGGTGAGAATATGAAGACCAAATTGCTCCCATGGCCATAACTACATCAGCGCCATGTTCCACGATTGATTGACTCTTTTGATCCAGGTGCCTGTGAGTTGGCCGCGCCATTGGCAGTAGTTACAATCAGGTGTAATGAGACAAGGCGTCCGACCAATCCTTGACTTTCCACGAGGCGCTTGCAGATGATCCGGCAAGCCGGTGACGCGAAGGCCGGGCGGCATTGAGCTCACTCCGCCCGATGCACTACGCGCTAGAGCCATCTTGCAAACTACATGTTCATAATCCCCTGTAATCCTCTATGCAGTCCTTGGTTCGACTCAACTTCGGGAGGTGGGGGACCAGTCGCCAGTGTTATCAGTATTCCTCGCTCCAGCATCGAGGTCAGCAAAGAATCAGAACTATCTTCAAAGACGGCATTGCTGCCCATGCCGATCCATCAAGAGCACCACAGCGGCGGGGATTCTCCGAGTCCTCGACTGCCAGGGTATTGCCAACCTCCCAGGAAACAATAGCGAGCCATCTGCGCAATTGCGGCATTGACAAATGGGGCTGGGTGATATACCGCACCACATATGGTGACGATGAAGCCTGGGAACGTTGCAAAGAGATCATCACCTACCGTACGCGCCGCAACATCGCAGACTCGGATGCGCCAGGCATTGCAAAGAACCTGGAGTTGACTTTTTTTGACGATAAATTCTTGTTTGATGGGGCCTCAAAGCATCAGCTCCGATCGCATTTTCGCACTTGGTCCCTGGACGCATTTCAATCGGAGAACCCAAGAACACAAGATGTGAGCGGAGACCTAGGATATTGGATACAAGGTTGTGGCGTCCCTCGATATGTGTACTTCTTCCAGGTAGACCTGGAGTCCCTCCGGAGTATCGTGTTCGAGGCGCCTCAACCGCCTGACTACGATCTTGACTGTGAGAGCCACATCAACTTCATCGACGCCTACTGGAAACCGATAAGAGAATGGGCCGGAGTGCTACGACATACAGAGCAAGACGAGATCGATGATTTCGAGACCGCTCATGAGCCTATCGAGGGGTGCGGAGAGGAGAACGTCGGATGGATGAAGGTGTCTACTGAGACGATGGGTTCCGACTGGTATGAGGTATGGCTTGGCAGTATCGGCGGCGATGCCAGCACTTGGTATGTTTTCTACCAACGCCCGCCCGGGAAAGTGTACTGGTAAGAAAGCTGTGAACAGCTTCGCGAATTCCTTACAACAATCGCAACGTCATGCAGTCTTGTGTACTAGGTAGCGATGAGCACGCTCCGGTAGCAGAACCATCTTCAAAGAACGGTCCACAAATGACAGGGGTCGGCGCCAAGGCGACGAGTTCATTCAAACGCCGCTTCCCTACGTCTCAAGGGGATTAGGTCGAGGGGGGAGAACCTGACAATACACCTCAATCTCATTCTCAACTTCCTCATGCTCATGAAGACGCTCGCAAGATGAGCTTTCTTTCCAGGCTCTTTCTAAATCTGAATACTCTATGCTGCCAATGTACGATCACAGCTCGCTCGCTCAATAGAGTGTTTCATTCGCATCGACGATTTCTACCTGTTCGTCGTCTCTCGCCAGCCCTTGGCGGCTACCGCTACGCAGCAAACGACGCAAAAGGTACTAAGCCCAGGATGGACATAATCTACGAGTCTGAGCTACTAAGGGACGAGACCCAGGACTTTGACAAATGGGGCTGGGTGTTCTACAGGTGTACATACAACGATGATGACGCTTGGGCTCGCTTCAAGGACATCATCAACGGTACATCCCGACAGGGCAGCGAGTACTACGAGTATCCGGGAATTCTTGACAAGATGAAGTGGACGTTCTTAGAGGACAAAAAAACGATTTGATGGCGCTTCCACGGCTACGTTGCGCTCTCATTTCTGCGAATGGGCAAAGCAACCAGCACAGGCAGGGACTTCATCAGAGAAAGCGCCCTGAGAGTCCAGCTCTTCCAGCTTAGAGAGCAGTTCCGACATAACGATGCATAATGAATATTTGGTGCAAGTTGACGACTTATCATTGCGCAGCGTCGTGTACAAGGAGCTGCCGCCGGCCGAAGCCAACCTCTACGTCCGTGGACACATCAACCTGGTGAACGCCGACTGGCATCACGCGCGTCTGGAGGACTACCACGGAGAGAATATACGTGTCAACGAAGAACACTTCAGCTTCCCAGCCTTCGAGGGATGCACCGGGGAGAACGTCGGTTGGATGAGGCTGGTAGTGAGTGAAGTTGGTCCATCTACCTTTCAGAGGATCGCTCATCTGTGGTACATCGTTTATAAGAGACCTCCCGAAATCGTGTACGGCGTGTAGAGTGGGCGTTATGTAGTGTCCAAGGGTGTATAGAACGTATGTGGAAAACGTCGTTGCTCATTATTGTGTACTCGTGTTTTCTTCGTTCAATCAAGCTCCCGCACGTGTAATAGTTGAGATGCCTAGGTGCGTGGATGATGTGGTCTCCATACATACAGACTCCAACGCCGTTTCGATGGGAATCATAACACCAACTCCTACTCTGCGATGGCCGTCTAATCCTTGGCACCATCTGTTTCGAACCAACCCTGTTGGTACATCGCCATCCCAAAGCCTGACGCCTGGCTTACCGCCATACACTTGTCCATGATCCACATCTTCGTCTCTTTGTCGGCAAAAGCCGACTTGAGCACGGCTATCATAGGCCAGAACATACACCAAGCATTGAATCCAACGCCCTGTATGGTACAGGCTGAATCTCTGCCATCGAATCCGAATACAATACGGATTTGCTCGCAAACTTGCTCCATCGCCGTCAGTCCATGAGGGAGGTTGACGAGCGTCTTCAACTCTTCACGCGTCGGTTCTCCAAGAGCAATTGATAAGCTTAGAATGTACTCGATGAGGTGTAGTCTGATGGTGAGGTAAAGACCTTTCGCTATCGCATCGCTTGCGTCCGATTTACGGCCCAACAAGTGGTTGAAAGAGTTCAAGTCTTCGTCGACAGCGCCGTCAGGTCCGGGTTTATTCCGGGGCCCAGGGGATAAGATTCTGTAGTTCGCGGCTGCTTCTATGTCGCGTATGATGTCGATACCTATCTGGAAGATCTCTGTTACGTGGCTGACGGATGCTCGTTCGATATCTGCCGATGATAGCACGTGCTGGATCATGTGTTTGTAGTCGATAGCTCGAACGAGCAGCGGTTCAACCATGCCGTCTTTCGCCCATGCTGCTTGTTTCAAGCCGACTAGAACTGGTGATCGACCTTCCTGGCCGATGAATATTTCGAGCATCTGAGGTAGATTAGTGACCGGCCGTGACTAGCTTGTCATTACAAGAATACTTACCCCCAGGTGAACCACAAACGCAAGTAGGCCCTTATCGAGTGATGTGGCAACACCCTGTTCTGCTCGATACCTCAAGAGTGCGAGAGAACCTCGACAATGCGATGTTATCTTCCTTGGTGATGTATCCGGTACTATTGCCTTGAAGTATGTTAGGGTCTCACGTCGAAAGATTCATCCTCATCCGTGTACGTCTCCTTCACCAGCCTCCCTCAGTTTACTTACCTCGAAGAGGCCGAGAGTGAGTAATGCGACAACAACCGAGTCGTCTTGTGCTGTCGAGTTATCTTTCAGTGCGCCGCCAATCTTGCTAATCGCCTTGCCATAGTGTTGCCGCGCTTGAGCCATCAAGCCTGCCTGGCACATCTGTAAAGAGGAGCTGGCTAATGCCGTGGCTTTGAGAGCCTCCTGCAAAACAGGCGATGAGGCAGCCGACAACTTCATGCTGGGGAAGAGGTTGAATAAAGCGACCTCGCCTCCGGATGCATAGTTGGAGTAAAAGTGGTTAAGTGAGATGAGCTCGGAATCGACTTGAAAGGCTTTCGGTACGGTCCGCAGCCTCCTCTGAATTTCCTCTTCCTCTACTGAGTCCGGGGAGGTTCCCTCTTCGTCGACTTCCAGAATTGATGACGCTGGGTCAAATGCGCCTCTTTCCTTCAGTCGTTTGGCGACCCTAACCTGGACCTGGTGAGCCGCCGATGCGTTCTGCTGGCGATGCACAACGGCCCACGGATCCGCGTAACCCGGACACGCCCTCCCGAGACTCGTACAGCGGTTACATGAGGGCTTTCGGAGATCGCACTGGCAGCTCGCGTTAGATTCAATTCACTTCAAAGAACCGGCTCAAGAGTCGGCAGTAGGCGTTCGGAGTCTGAGTACTTTGACTTTGCGCGCCTTGCAGGCGAAGCAGCTCGCTGACGGGCGACATCCCATCGTATCCGTCGGCTCCGGTCCTCTGTGGGCGATGAATCCCTGGTGTGATCCCGACCCCCCCACCACTTCTGCGAAAAGATGGAACGTTAAGCCAGCTCTGCAGTGAGCTCAATCTGACATTGTTTGATGAGTGGGAGCTCGTGGGATACCGACGACGGCGACGGCTTCTTCGGTCCTTCGGGCATGCGGCTTCGTTCACCTTTTTGAACAGGCGATCGCTTGCTGGTCGTTGGCTGAGCATAAAGGAGAGACAGCTAATTAGGGCGCGGCCTGGCGTCTATCGAGGCTAGCTGTTCCCTGATCCGAGGCACCGGGCGTGCGGGGGCCACCTCTCGAGGATTTTAACTTTCAGCAAATGGCTCCAACACGCAACGAAGGAGGGAATCCGTAACTGGGAGACTGGGTGGCTGGACAGTGACGACAGCGTTAGCCAGGCAAACGGAGGTGATGGTGGTGGCGTCGAGTCATTTGGGAATTTCTCACGCCTTGAACGTATCCCAGCTGGCGCCCATCGAACCCGGAAGCTTTGCAACAGGACTGAATCGTGTTTGATGACGTGGTCAAAGCGCCGAAACCTAAACCATTGTCTTCCGGACAGTCAATGGCGGGATTCCTGTCCGAGGGATGGTATTGCACAGGTTCCTGAGGTTCATTCAAGCTTTTACAACGCGTGGGACTTCCCATTGTTGATGAGACCATGGGACCAGAGGGCTGCTCCACGCCTACAAGACTCTCACATAGTGAATTACGTAGTGAAGGGATGCCAGGTTAGGTGGTTGCTGAGGAATCCCTTGGCACCCAAGCTCTCTCGTCCGGAAAGATTGGACAGATCGGGTCAAGCCTCGGGCCCCTGAATATCAAGGGATTTGTAGCCTCGGCCTGCCAGAAATAGCATTCGTCCCGAAACTCTGAATAAGTTCATTCACTGACTGCACGATGGCCGTTGAGTATCTCGCTCAGGTCAAGACCGTCCTTTCGAGTGGATCAAGCACACCCTGGCTGACGTCCTCAAGGTCACCCACACTCTTGGAACACGCACATCAGACATTTTGGGAACCATTCACTTGGCAAGCCAGATGTTAAGAGTCCGGTTAAAGATGGCAATGACTGAGACGTGTCAGAAGAGCTCTGAGATGAACGCTTATTCCGACTTCACGCGTTCGAGATGGCACACGATTCAGGCATGGCTTGGGACGACCCTTGGTTCGATAAGGCATCAGGATTCGTAAAGGCGAGATCATTGATGACAACATCTCATGTAATTGATTCAGACGTACTGTCATTAATGCTACTGTCAGCTCCGGTGTGGTGTAGAGCTTTCTCGGCCGAGTGCTTGCCGATAGACTTCCGGGTTCGGTCTAAGACACCGAACGATCCTCTCGACGCCGTTTCCTCTCCTCTTGTTTGCGCTGAACGTAATGTGAGACCATACTCTCCAAGTCGTCGTCCCATGGATGAGTTCCTCCCTCGGACTTGACATTGGTGAGACCCCAGTCAAACAGAATCGTGTTAATCTCGCTGAGACAGTCGGCTTCTGTAATACCCCCATTTCTCTCCGGAATGACTATATCTCCGTGTTCTTTCCTTAGTCCATGAATTTCATCCTTGAGACGTTTTCCTGCCGCTTTTCTCTCTTCGGCTTGAAGTAGCTGGACCTTGGTAACCTCCATTCGCCGGCGAATGCGTCCGCTGGCGGGGAGATTTCGCTCGTCTGGTGTGACAGACTCCTCACTGCTGCTGGTTGATGAAAGTTTGCTGAATAAATTGCGTGTAGTGTGTGATATGGCTGCTTGGAGCCGGAGATCATCTTTGAGATCATGTTGGAAAGTCTCGAGTTCGGTGTCGTGAGCTTGTCTAAGCTCAGCCAAGAGCGTGCGATGGAGCGTTTACAGCACGCGACGCTGGATGCTATAAGCTGCTACTGCTATCTTGATGTCGTAGGTGGTTGGCATCTTCTTATTCATTGAGTCATCGTGTTCAGATCTTGCAAAGGTCTTCCTGAGACACAACATTGGCTTGGATATGCTGAGCGACGTCTTTAATATGATGTTATTGTTTCTGAACTTGATGCGAGTATTCATGAATCCGTCCATGAAACGATCTGAAGTGTCTAGTGTTCAATTGTCTCAGGCAACGAGAAACAAACTTGATAGGGTTTCGCAGTGCTGGAGGACAGAAAATGCAGGAGGAAAGGCTCTGGTCTTACCCTCAATTGTGCAACTATCTCCGAAGCTCCATAGGAAGACTGGTTCGATATCATGGTCGAAAAGGTGGATCTTTTCAAAAGTGTTCATATTCAAGAACCTCTTTGGTCCCCAGCCTAATGCTACTCACGGTTCTACGAAAGCCAATGGTACAGATATTTTGCCAGAAACAGTATTGTCACGCCTGCAATGGCGTAGTTGATCAAAAATTTGCAGTCCGAAGCTCATCATTGCATGGCGTTCTAGACTGCTTTGGACAGAACTTCGGCCCAGACTTGATACCCCCTCTCGATCAGATGAACATGGTCTACCAGACACTCCTCCATATCAACCAAGGGTGGCTCTAAGAACTCTATTTGGTTAACTTCATTCTCTTGAAATTGTCGAATAAGCTCAACATAGCTCTCCTTCGCTTTCACAATCAGCTCTTCCCTGATATCCTTCCTCCTGAAGAGCCCAATGAGAAGTACTTTGCCATTCATTTTGAGCAGAGCCTCCACAATCAACCGAAGTAGATCCAAGTCAGATTCTCTCATTCCGCGCCTGGGGTGCAGATTGTTTGTGCCTACATGCAAGACCCATAATTTGACATCGCGTCTTTGAAGTGCATTCAGCAGCCCGTCAAGAGACTTCGAGGGGTCTGATGAGCCGGTAATTCGGTAGATGACGTTTTCGAACTTGTCGCCGCCGCCCTTTACGCCCGTTAGAGAGTACTGGCTTTCTTCCTAGCCTATTTTGGTAGAAGCGCCCGTTTATTCAGGCTTAGGAACCCCGCTAACGCCAGACTTAATAGTTCTAACCTTGGTGACGGCGGCCGCTTTGTAATGGTGGCTAGCGAGCTATTCAAATCATAGAAGACTGGCCTGTGCCGCCTACATCTGTTACTAAAACTGGCGCTATTTGTTCTGCTACCTAGTGCGAGCCTGGTAGCCTCAGCGGGCCTTACAAGCCTAGGGCTGCCGATGTTGTGATTTGTTGTACCACTTATGATTTGGCACACCCCGGACGGAATAAGGGCGGTAGATAATATGCCGGAGCGCTTCCCCGGCGCAACACACTTCCTCGTGATTGAGAAGAGCTAAACGAGAGCCGAGCGAGTCGGCCCAAGATTATTTCGTATAGTGACGCATAATATCGCATGGATGGCATCTTCAGCCTAGCCAGATACCACAACGTGAACATTGAACTCCGCCAGTGCGTTCACGGGCGTGAGAACGAACCTCGCACAAACTCAATTCGACCGCGATTTTTTCGCGGGCCAGCAATGATGTACCTTGTTGCTGACGTGGTTACTGAAATCCCGCGGTGGGCCCTTTTTCTATTCTGAGGAGATCGTGGATACCGTAGAGCGCCTCCGAAACATTAAGAAGAGTTAGGCGAGACGGAAGCTATGGTACTCTATAAGGCCATCTAATTGGTATATGCTAATAGCGCTGCGAGATAGTCAGATAAAAGACGGCACGAACATGCTTCGGGGCTAGCAAGACGTACGTCGTGATAGTAACTGAGCGGGCGTTGACGATGATCCTGTCGACATCAGAAGTAACTCTATACAAAAGTGAGAAACTCTACTATCTATGACGAAGACTCGCCCAATTACGCTATCGCGGTAACTACTCGTATATGTCGGTTATCTGCACGCGTGGGCTGTTGACTACGGCGTCTACTTTCTGTAACATGCCGATGGATCCTCATCTTGCCCCTTCAAGGTCCTATACACTGCGACCCCAGAACCCTAATCGTGGCGTGTTGAAGACAGGGTGCTCCAATGCAACTTTAATGGTTTGCTAGAGGAGTAATGCAGAATCTAGTTCCGTGACTGCATCTGTCGATGAAAAGCTACGTTTCGCTCCGTCATCAATGAAGGCATGATAGCTTTTTTGAAAGGAATAGTCAGGCCATGCAATTACGGTCCAGGGGGTTAGATGCCCCCTCCCCCCCATCCCCATTTCTTCACCAGAATCAACAAAATCGCGGCTATCAAATGTTATTACATCTAACTATAGAGAATAGCTGCAATTATTAACAGTTTTATTTCCAAATTTCAAATGATCGAAACATCATTTAAGTATCTTTTGCTCCATTTTTGTCACATGCTAGGTCTGGATGATTGCTTCTACAGGTGCAGCTAGGTGACTTAACCGGAGGTGAAGTCACTGCTTTCCTTGACTTAGACCATGTTAGAACACGCAGGTGCAGGGTGACTATGTGTGACTAGGCGGCATTGCCATACCGAATTGGAAAGGTTTCGCGATTGTCGCTAGACCAGACAATATCAGGAAACGAGGAACCGCTAAACCTCCCTGACCTACCTTAGAGGGGCGGGATCTTGAGCAGAAGTTGCACGATATGTAGACATGCTAAGACGTCCATCGACAAGGTTTCCAGCATATTGAAATAGATAGAAGTGCCCGTTAGCATCTACATCGGCTTTCTCATATGAAGCCAACATTCCTCTGTCAAACAACATCAATGTCACACAGATCAACGCTCTTCTTATAGACGAACTAGCTCTAACTCCCCACTTCTCTCTCTCTTTCTCACATCACTCTCATCCATAAGGTCAACTACCGATCATTCATAATGTCTTGTACACAGGCCGGTGCCCGGGCCATGTGGCGACAGCTCTCCAGTCCCTTGAATAGGGTCTTCCAAAAACATGTCAGACAAGAAGATGACCTCGCTGACCAGCCAAAGCGCTTGGCTGCCCTTGTTGCCCCCATTTGTTCTCAAATGCTAGAACAGTTAAACTATCCGGGTGCCCCACAGCTGGAAGGTGAAGCTGTTGAGGTACTCTTGGCGTACATGTACAATAGGGCTGTGAAGATTGGAGTTCCTCTTGATACTCACATCTCTGCGAAGGGGTTTCGTCTGGGTTATGCTGAAGGATTGGTTTGTTGAGTTCCAGTGTTATTCTTTGCAATGTGATTCTAACATCAGTCAGCTCGCCCATCCCAGGCATCCGGTTGAAGTCCAGGGATACGTCGGACTCTTCACCTGGCTTGTCGTTCAGTACGACGATATCGTAGGGCAAAACAACCAGATGGTGGAGGAGGCGCTCCTTTTTCATGAAAGATTGTTCCGAGGCGAGCCCCAGCCAAACTACTTACTTGAGGGAATTGCCGGACTTCTTCGCGAAGCCCGCGACCACTTCGACACCGTCTTAGCGAACATGCTCCAGATCTCGGTGCTCAAATTCCTGACGAGTAATTTATTGGAACGACACAGCGGCTTCCAACACATGTCTGTCACGCCGGCAGGGCAAAAGTTCCCAGACTTTTATCGAGACATGTCGGGCATGGACCAGGCCTATGCTGTGTTCTGCTATCCCAAAGCGCTATACCCGGATGTGGGAGCCTTTCTAGAGGCAATCCCAGACATGGCTAATTTTATTAATATATCTAACGACGTCTTGTCGTAAGTAAGGTGCGCTATTAGTCCGAGCAAGCTGCTGACGTTCTCCAGTTTCTACAAGGAAGAGCTAAGCGGAGACACGAGAAACTATGTTCATAACCGCGCCACGTGTACTGGCAAGCCAGTGATGACTGTGGTAGCGGAAGTAAACCGAGAGTCAATAGCATCAGCAAGGCGGGTTGAGAAGATCCTCAAGGGAAGGGGCATATACGAACAGTCCTGGAACGATAGTGTTAGGGGCTATATGGCGATGCATACGACCAACCCCCGATACAAGTTGACCGATCTAGGAATCGGCGAGGAGCACCCACTTGCTCCATTCGAACATAGAATCGGCCAATTGTTTGAGCAAATGAGCCGAAAGGAATGAGTACGTCGTAATCCGAGAAATTTTCTGAGTCGTAGCGAAACCGCGTCAGTAACGATGTGTTTTGACCGTGACAAATTGATAGTGGGCCTGATGTCAGAGAACTGGGTTCGGACAGAGTATTCGAGATAACAACTTCTACAAAGCTAGAGGCAAATCATGACTATCATTCGAATCTACCCCCTTTTCTACGGTGTGGAGACTCCAGCTTTGTGAAATGCTTCGCCACGGAATTGATATTCTGTCCCGAGTGGACCTCGCCGCTTCCCCCGGCGCTCCCCCGGAGCTGCCCCGGAGGCCCACCCTCCCTAGGCGGCACCTGACACTTGCTCTGTCCTAGTTTTCGGCGCCTTGCCGAGGATCAAACCGAACAAGCCTTTAGCTGAGCGTATATATAACCTTTCCAGTGATTCCAACCATGGAAGGGGCCTGCATGATGCTTTCCTGAGCTCTCCGGAGAGCTGAGATGTCTGGGCTCACTGCATGCGTACAGGTTGGGAGGCGCTAAATGAGTGCAAATACACAAAGCAACGTCAATTGAGCAAAGACACTCATCATCCTGCTGGACCTCCACAGGCTGGAACACATAGCTCTGCAGGTCAGTCAGAGTTATGTTCGGCTGAGTGGCTTCATCAAGTACTGCTCTCCTCTTCTTACTTTCTATCCTCGTTCCGACTCAGCTTCTCACGGAAATAGCTAGGCCGTTCATCCTCATAAACAACATCAAACCGTGGATCATCTTTGAACGTGCCAATAGGGGCGCTCAGCCACTCTCCACTCGCCATGAGCGCCACGCAGCAGTGCCACGGCGTCGTATAGCCCGTCTCGGTGTGTAGCAAACTCAAAGACACCTTATTCTCGCCTGTGGAATGATGGATAGACAGGCGGAGATGGTTGGGGAAAGCAGCCTTGATAGCGCCAGCGAAAGCCTGTTCTGCATCAGAGGTACGGTACGCTAACAAGGCGGCTTTCACAGCCCCAAACAGTAGAGAACGCACATATCCGCGGATCATCATTTCCTTAGCGAGGAACTTGATTTCTCGCTTAAAGCTGTTGTGAGACCTATTCTTGCCGGTTGGGAAGATGTGTTGCAAGTCCGATTCAAGAAACCTCCTGTACCCACAATAGGTCATCAGGGTATCAGGCTGTGTGGCAATCTCGTAGTCGATGTCAAGGTCCTCTTTGCCATATCTATTTAAAAGATACCGGCGAAGGTTGGTCGCATTGGCAACGTAGACAATCTCGCTCATCTGCTCAGGAAGGGGAAATTGAAGTAGCTCTTTGAGGCAGGAGAAGTTAATCCGGCCAAAGCCTTTCTTGACAGCCATAGCCCGTAGAGCCTCGCCGTAGGCCCACGTATCGCGATCTGGGATACATAGTAAGTCTGCAATCAAGGGCATCTTAGCAAAGCCAGTATATAAGATGGGGTGACTCACCGTTGTAGACTAGACCGTCTGAAATAATAGTGATCCTGGCACCTGGACTATATATATCTCGGATTCGTAGACAAATGGTGTTAAGCCGCTGGAGGGCTAGCTCCTCAGCCTTGTCTGGCAGGAAGCCGAGGACTTTGTACGCTTTATTGGCCGACTTGAACGGAAATGCCGGGAGACACATATCAATCGGCTTATCTGCTGTGACGAACCCGTTGATGACGGACAAGAACTTGGTCATACCGGCAGCATGCCGGTACTTGAAATTGTCAATCTTGTCGAGAGCATACTCGAAAATGATGGCAAGGATCCTGGCAGACGTCTCATCCCCCTTATCCGTCTTCCATATCATCTTCTGAACCGCATCAGTGGCGTGAGCGAAATCTTTGCCATGTAGCGAGCTTCTCAAGTTGGAATCCATGGATTGAGTGGCAGATTGTGTGCAGGGAAAATTGAATGATCCAGAAGAAATTGACCGGGTGATGTAAGACTGAGAGAATAGCACAGGGTTTTAAATACATGCTCAGCCACACAAGTGCAGTTGATTCTCGACAAGTCGGCCAAAAGTCATTTGCTGCCACTGATCTATAATGGGCTATCTGAAGAAGGTATGCGGACATGTGGAAGAGAGCTCCAAAGTCGTTGGTTACTGATGTCCTGCTCAAATTGTGTCGCGAATACACACGGAACTGGTTACGTTCAGAGGTGCGGCCAAAATCACAGGAACCGCGGCACGAAGTTGAAAGCTCCGGCAGTCCTCCGCGAGGCCCAATTCTCATCCACGCGTCTAGACCTGCAGTGGGACTTCCCACATCTTCCGAGCAACTATCTTGAAGTGAATGTACATCCAGGTAAGAAAAGGTAGGGCATGAGTCCAATTCTCTGCACCTAGGTTTTGGACTTGCTACTTTTGCTAGCTCATGCAGTGCTCGACTGATACGAAAGGACGAAGGCTCGCACCCCTGCTGATCGAAACGGGCGTCCAAAATGCCAGGGGTGATATCTACATATGCTGCCCTTCGAGGATCGGCACAGTTCTCGGTTCACAGACGAAAAGAAGGTTGTATTCTTCGTAAGTAGCATAGACTAACGATGGTGATGTGTGTGCAGCCGTCCTCGTCTCGCCTCACATTCTATTATCGCTATTGGGTGTTCCCGATACGAGGTTGCCGCTTCGAACTCAAATTGAAAGTTTGGCCTTTCAAGCTCATCGGCAGCATATGAGGCGTTAGTCCGGCCCATGCGCGCCTGCCGTTCATTTAACGCCCAGTACCGCATCTTTTGGCATTTTCAATCTTTCAGGAGATAGCAGGGATTCGCGGCGAATCACCAAACGTGCTGAGCCCAAAGTTATCATGCTAAGTAACCAATAAATCTGGCTGTCTTTTCACGCCTTTTGTTCGTGCTAAGAGGCATATGGGCGTCAAATGGATACCCGAGACCTCGTTATCCCCTACGAAAGTTGCTCCTCTTCTACTATCCTACTCTCAGCACCTTTTCGTCAGGTCTCGTTCTTGACAGTTCCAGTTCAGCATCTCTTCAAATAGTGTACTGACACCTTGCAACAATGACTGTCCCAGAGCAATATGGTCGGCGGTTGATTCCCCAGATATTAGACAGTTTGGCTTCTTTCGAACCTCACCGCATTATATACTCGGTGGCAAATTCCTCGAATATCTCTCATGGGTTCCAACACATATCTGCTCGAGCTTTTGCAAAGGCAGTTGACAAGACCGCTTGGTGGTTGCATAGTCAAGTTGGTGAAAAAAGGGTTGTCCGGGCAGCGGCTTACATTGGACCTCGTAAGTGAAAAAACCAATTGCTGGCAGGATTTTTGCTTTACTGACTCCAGAAGATGACCTCCGGCACGTTCTGTTGACGTATGCATGTGTCAAGGTCGGCTGCACTGTGAGTGAAATACCCCAAGCTATTCAAACCTAGCCGCACGTTTCTAATGCGTTCAATGGAGGCCCTATTTCTGTCCCCCAAAAATAGCACCGAAGGCGCACTTGCAGTGCTTGAAGCTGCAAAATGCAGCGTTTGGGTCAACCCATGCGGGTATTCATGCCCTCTGGTGGATGACATTCTGCAGAAGCGCAGTATGAAGGTGTTCCATTTACCAGAATTGGACGAACTGCTCAATGCAGAGACGACTGAATCGTACCCATACACTAAGACTTTTGACGAAGCTTCTCAAAACCCGTTTTGTTTACTTCATACCTCCGGATCGACTGGCCTTCCAAAGCCGATCGCGTGGTCGCACGGCCTGATCGGTACAATGGATGCTGTGCGACTACTCCCACATGTCGAAGGAGATGACGGGCTGTCACCATGGACAAACAATTGGATCGATGGGGATAGAATATACTCATCGTTTCCAATGAGTCACGTATTTCTGCCCCGCTGTACAACCAAAGGCCCCCTTCTAACCGAGATCACATTCACAGGGCGCCGGTATCATCATGAACATCCTCCTGCCGTCTCTCTTCGGTCTACACTGTATCATGGGCCCTAAAGGTGTAGTGCCTAACATGCACCTTATAGAATCACTTGCAGACCATGCAGAGATCGATATTTGGAGCATGGTCCCGTCATTAGTCGATGAGCTTGGTGAAACGCCCGATGTCTTGGTCAAGCTCAAGCAATCCAAATTCATCTGCGCTTCCGGTGGCCCAGTCAGCCCTCTCATCGGATCAAAAGTAAACGATGTCGTCCGAGTTCTAAACCTGACCGGTACTACAGAAGGCCTGTTTATGGGGAATCTATGGGTAGAAAAACAAGACTGGTATTATTTTGCCTTTCACCCATTCTCCGGGTTCGAGTTCAAGGAAGTAGAGTCAGGCGTCTATGAACATTGGGTACATCGCAACGACCACTGGCCCCTATTCCAAGGTATCTTTCATACTTTCCCGAATGAAAGGAGTGTCAACTTCAAAGATCTATACACCAAACACCCTACTAAGCCGAATCTATGGGCTTACAAAGGGCGCAATGACGACATCGTTGTGTTGTCTAATGGCTATAAGATCTCACCGTTGGAAACAGAGGCTTTGGTCACCACGCATCCTGATATTAAGGGTTGTCTGATGGCAAGTCATTCCGTCCTACATGTTGATCGAACCTAGCTAACGTTCATAGATCGGAGCAGGGAAGCCTCAGGCAGGTCTTCTAATTGAGCTTGAAAACCCAACTTCCAAGACCAACGTGGTATGGGATAGTATCTGGGCTACAATTGAACGCGCCAACGCATTGTCGTTGCACAAAAATCAGGTGCAAAGTGATTACGTCGCTTTCGCTGAATTAGATACGCCTTTTTCCCGCACTGATAAGGGAACGGTGAAGCGACGGGCCACGCTCGAGGCGTATGCTGATTACATCGAGCGCTTCTATAGCTCGCGGTCGGACCAAGACACCGAGTTCTTAGCTATCGACACCAGTTCTATTGTTTCCATCACCGATGCCATCCGTCACGTCTTAGGCAGTCTCTCACCTGCTGTTAAGAAGGCCACACCCGACGATGACCTCTTCGCCATGGGCTTCGACTCGCTGCTCGTTTTTCGTGCTATCAAGACTCTTCGCGTAGCCACCGGGCTTCGTGACCTGTTGGCCCCAAGGCATCTCTACGGCAGCCCTACACTCCGCCAGTTCTCAGCGACGTTGGCTCAGCTGGTGGCCGACATGCATAGGAAGGCGATTGACAGATCAGCTTCGAATGGAACGGTTGCAGACAACGTCGCCGAGATGTACCGCATGATCAATCTGCACCGCATGCGTCTCTCACAAAAGGTTAGCCCTTTCGACCAGATGAGCCCCAACATATATCTGGGCATGAAGTTTTTCTACCAGCTCCGCAAGGGCGCCCGTTTTGAAGACGTGTTTGTACGATTACAGGCAGGGCTGCGTCGGGCCATGACACTCATTCCCGAGCTCGAGGGTAAGCTGATGCCCTGTTCGGAGGACGAGATAGGGTACAAGAAGGGTGACATGCGCATTTCGATTCCCCCGGTGCCTTGTACGGCGACGGCGAACCGCAGCACCGAGTCATCCAGGCCACGACAACTGCGTTACCGAGACCTTTCGGCGGTGCTCCCGTCCTTTGCGGAGCTTCGTGCCGGTGGCTTCGCGTCTTCAGGCTTTGCAGATGATGTCGTACTTTCAAGCCCGTTGCTGCCGCCGCTGCCGGCCGACTTGTTCGTCGCGCAGGCCAATTTTATCACTGGTGGCTGTATCCTAGCCATCAACATGCACCACCAATGCTTCGACGGCACGGGCACAATTATGGTGATGCGTATCTGGGGTGAATGCTGTCGTTATGTGCAAGGCGATGCCTCGGCGACGTGCGCCTGGCTGGACAAAGAGAGTTTGAACCGTAATCTTCTGCAAATTCTATACGAGATGGAGGGGTATGCGAAACCGGCAGGCCAAGTAGACAAGAACGTATGGGGTTTCATCGACATCCCGGATCCGGCCGAGACAGGGTCGGAGTGTGTGACCGAGATTCAGAACCTCGTCACCGAGTCGTCGCTCCCTCCGGCTCCGTTCTTCCCCCGGAATTTTCAATGGCCGCCGAAACCCCTTCCCAACGGCCGGCACTTGGCTTCATCCACCTTTATCATTCCGACCGAAATGATTGAGCAGCTCCGGCAAGACGTTCTGGCTGACCCCGCAGCCGGGGGCCTCATCTCGGACAGCGACATGATCCAAGCATTCGTTTGGCGAGCGGCCGTCAAAGCGCGTCGCCATGTAGCGATACAGCTGCGCGACGAGACCTTTGAAACGGATGAGATGGCCATCGTTGAGTTGCCTATCGATGCCAGGCCTTATTTCTCAAAGCTGCTGCCAGAGTCGTATATGGGCAACCTCGTCGTCATCAACCGGCCGAGCATGCCGGTGGCGACGCTCTGCGGCACAGAAACAACAGTGGCGCAGATTTCACAGGTGCTCCGCGCTGCTGCTGTCCACATCACGCCTTCATTAGTCCATGATGCATTCACGCTGCTGCAGTCAGTGCCTGACTACACCAAAGTGACTACTGCATGCATGGAGATGGAGGGGATGCACACCGCCGTTAATAATTTGATGCTTTTCCAGACGAGTGCTATCTCTTTCGGAGACGAGTTCCTGGATGATGGCGGCGTGCCATCTGCAATGCGCGTGCAAATGGATGCTATCAACGCGGCATTCCGCATGTTGGTTATACATCCACTGCGCGAGGACGGTGGGATTGAGCTTGTCATTGGCACGCTGCCAGAAGAACTTGATGCGCTGCTGGCAGATGGCGAGTTCACTAGGTATTGTAGGTTTGTAGGTTAGCTTTAGCAGGCGGGTTACCTTGAATGAAGCCCTTCGACGTGCCGACACAAGAGGGGCATCACATTGCACGAGCCCAGAATAGTACCACGAGCATGGAGTCACTTTGGTCCCTTTAGCTAATTTTGAGACAACTTCATCGTGTTACAGTTGTAGGGAGATCAATGGATGATCAGTCTAGCCATTGAGACCCGACATTAAAGCCTAAGGTCCCGACCGGTAAACCAGCCAGCCCCTTCGTCAACATTATAAGATAACCATTGCCTCGTGAACTCTACACTAGACAAAAGCTACACCATGCCGAGAAGGGTGCGGGTGTGGTTTCAAAATGGTTCAACAAAGTTAAGTGCCGGGGACCAGGAAAAGACATTGGAAAGAGGGAAGATAGAAAGCGTAAAGGGAGAAGGGGAAGAGCAGCCGGTTGGAGCGCTTCTCCTTAGTTTAGTTTACTGATCCGGAAGAAGCCGGCTTGGGGAAGTTGTACTAACTAAGTCAACAAGGGGATTATGGCAGGAGTGTGAGGCTATTGACCAGGTCTAAAAGATATGAAATAACTATCCATAACTTTAAAAACATTTTTCGAAAAATAACCAGTACATCCAACGGATCGACCCGCAGCCCTCAGCGGCATGGACTAGGATTCATAGTCAAAACTCAACGGCAGACCAGTCTAACCCCCCACGTACTGCTATGTAGATCCTCGAGGGATTAGTGCGTTACTCCGTCAAGATACTACACAACAGGCAAGGATGCGATCAAGTTGTTACCCTTCCTCGTAACATGTCATTCGAATCAGCCGCCGCTCATCTTTAGAGGAATACCCTACGCACTGCAGCAATAATCCCTAATTAGTTTGTCCACTAGCCTCCTCTCTTCTTCCTCTTTCTCTCTCAATGCAACGAGCCTACGTCTCAACCTCGGGATTAACGTACTTGTTTCAACAATCCTGTGATCCGTCCCTCTTTTCTTTTCGTTCCTTGTTTCCGTTGTTCTTTGAAACTTCTTGAGGTAATCAACCTAGGACCAAATACTCCCTCGAGAAGACATCAAACTCGCCTACGGCGCCAAGATCCAGCTCCAGACAAGGAGAGACAGATATAGAGAGGACGAGCTTGTGATAACACGCATAGTTCCCCCCCCCCCCCCCTTTCCAAAACAAAAGAATTCTACGTCAGACCGAAGAATTGATTGACTAGAAATTCCACAATGTTCACAACCACCACTCCCGCTGCAGCGACCACAGCCGCCGTCCTCGACAAGAAACGTCTCTCGTCCGATGGCAAGACTGAAGTCGGCACCAATATTGTCAATCTCTCCGCCGGAGCCAAGCTCGAGGCCGAGGCCAACGCCAACGTCGAGCAGCGCGCCGGCTTCACCGCTGGAGGCTCTGCCTCTAGTGTTGATCAGGCCAACAACGACCAGCCCGAGTACCCTTCGACCGCCAAGGTGGCTCTGATTATCTCTTCACTGTGCCTTGCCATCTTCCTTGTTGCTCTAGATCAGACTATCATTGCTCCTGCGCTGGGTGCAATTACGGCACAATTCCAAAGTGTCAAGGATATTGTGAGCTATTTATTGGAAACCTTCCAGCAGAGAAATTCGTTAATAGGTCTCAGGGTTGGTATGGCTCCTCTTACTTGCTCACCACCACAGCTCTCCAGCCCATGTACGGAGCTGTCTACAAGCTCTTCAATGTGAAGATTGCCTACCTTACAGCCGTTTTCGTCTTTGAGATTGGCAGTTTGATCTCTGCCGTTGCGCCATCCTCAGTTGTCTTCATTGTCGGTCGTGCCATTGCTGGAGTATGCTATCCTTCTTAATCCAATGGACCATTTATTGTGCTCATACTGATTGACCTTCTCAGATCGGAACCGCGGGTCTTTTCTCTGGATCAATTGTCATTATCTCCCTAATCAGTATGTCACCTCAAACACCGCGGCCTACATCACCAACATGAGCCCCCACTAACATTCCCGTAGTGCCCCTGGAGAAGCGTCCCCTTGCCTTTGGTCTCGTCGGTGGCATGTGGGGAATCGCGTCCGTTGCAGGGCCTCTTCTTGGAGGTGCCTTCACCGACCATGCTACCTGGCGATGGTGTTTTTACATCAACCTCCCTATCGGCGGCCTCGCCATGCTAATCGTCTTCTTCTTCGTCCATGTTAATCATAACTCGGCCGAGTCCCGAAACACGCCCTTCACGAAACGTGTCCGGCAACTTGATCTTGCTGGTGCCGCCATCTTCATCCCCGCCATTATCTGTCTGCTTCTTGCCCTGCAGTGGGGGGGCGCCGATTATCCCTGGAACAACTCGCGCATCATCGGTCTCTTCTGTGGCTTCGGTGCCATGATCGCCATCTTCATTGGCATTCAGTTCTGGAAAAGTGACCAAGGAACTCTGCCTCCACGTTTGTTTAAGAACCGCAACATCTTATCGGCAATGCTCTTCGCGATGTTCTTTGGCGCCGGCTTTTTTCCCCTTATCTACTACCTCTGTAAGTTTCCTGTCGCTCCTTTCCTGGAGCGCTCTGCTAACACAGCCTAGCTCTCTACTTCCAGGCCATTCAGGGTGTGAGCGCTGTCCAGGCTGGAATCAAGATCCTACCTCTCTTACTCTCAACCGTTCTCAGCGCCATCGTTTCGGGGGGCGTTATTACTGTTGTCGGCTACTATAATTTTGTCATCATCCCTTGCATGATTCTATTTACTGTTGGTAGTGGCATGCTCACTGTCCTCAACATGGTTTCGCCCCCGAAAGAGTGGCTCGGCTACCAGGTCATCGCGGGCCTTGGACTCGGCGCCGGTTTTCAAGTGGGTGTCTTGATCGTGCAGACTGTACTACCACAGGAATGGGTTCCTGTCGGTACTGCCGCGGTCCAGTTCTTCCAAGCTCTCGGGGGGGCTCTCTTTATTGCTGTTGCCCAAACTGTCTTCCAGAACGGCCTCATTGACACTATTAAGGCCAACAGCATCGGAATTGACCCTACCATCTTCATCAACAGTGGTGCCTCGGAGGTCAAGGATGTACTCCGCAGAATAGGTCGACTAGATGCGTTTGACATTATCCTCCAGGCGTATATGGAGGGTCTCCGAGACACATTCTACATCACCCTGGCTTGTGCTGCTTGTGCCTTCATCTGCTGTTTGTTCTTCCAATGGAAGTCGATTAAGCAGGGACCTGACGGTCACAGAAAGAAGGCAGAGCCTGCAGTTCCTGTCTAAAAGAAATGTACAAGTGTCAACCTTTTCGGATTTCGGTATTTAATGTAAAGTGCGGTGACCATTTCGGGCGGCCGAGAACTAGCTTCCGAGGTCTTATAAGACCTGCCGTATTCCGGAGTGTGCCTGCGGTGGCTGTGCAAATTCTCACGAATCTGCCCAGCCTGCCGTAGACTCATCCGGCATGCAGCCTAAACTTTCCATAATCCACGACCAACAACTTTTCCATCGCACCACAAATTGTCCTCAGGTCGAAGGCTCCTTTTGTCGCCAATTTCCCGATGCTGCTGATCTAAGTGGTTGAGAAGATCTCGCGCTGTTGTCGCGAGTCGAATTCTCATATCTGGGCTTCCGCCAAGCCGAGCGCTCACCATTTTCCTTCTCATTTTGCACATCCGAGGGCGTCGTACGATCCTTGAGCTTGTCGGGCAGACCGCGAGCAACGTTGACACGCAGACGACCGGTTCCCCAGACCTTGCGATCCAGCGCGTTTCTTGCTGCATCGGCCTCTTCAGCTGTCGCAAAATCGACAAAGCAGTAGTGGTGCTCACCGCCCTTGGCCCTAGTAGACTCATGGGGAGTGATACGCTTACTGATGGCTAGTCTTTATCGTCGGAGTCAAGTTAGCGGCGGCATAGGGTAAGTTCACCATCGCTGGCGACTGGAGGGGGTTTCCTACGGCTTGTGGCCCTCAAGAATTTGTTGCAGTTCATCCTGATGTTGTGCCTGGTCAACCATCGCACCCAATCCTCCAACATAGAGTCTCCTGCCATCCCCTTCCGTCGCAACGACCTCGTCGAAGTGCTTGATGGCGCCGTACGGTCCGCTCTCGATGCCGCCGTTCCTACCGTTCCGCGCTGGTGATCTGCCAGCCTCGTCGCCGCCCTCACCCCGCGATCCTGACCAGTCTCCCCACCTGTTGAAGGAAGGCTCTCTGTCGCTTTGCCAGCGACTCCGGTTCTGCTTCTTGGGCTCGCATGGGCCGACCTTGAGTGGTCTACCACGAAGGCGCGCATCAAGGGAGGATAGTGCCCGTTCGGCGTCTGCGCGCTCAGCGAAATCGACGAAGCAGTATCCGGGATTCCGAGCCGATACTGGATCCATGGAGATGTGAATTTTTTCGTACCCTTCAAAGCCATTGTCTTTCAGCATCTCCTCGATGTCGACGGGCTGGATGCTGTAGAGAAGATTGCCTAGATAAATGCGCCGGCCATCCTCTAGGGCGGCGGGCTGCTCTGATGACGATGTCATGGTGTCGTTTGATGAGATCCGGGGATCGAATGAGCGTTGAAATGAATAGCTCGCAGCCTTTTGTTTGCCTACCACGTGTCGTTGGGAGGGATGTGAAGAATCAAAATTTGAGAAGTCTAGTGAGGGGCATGATCCAAACACCCAGTGGGGTAATTCGCGTTTTTGCGGCTAGGGTTCACCGGCACAGAAAAGCTTATACTTCATTCCATTGGTCAGTGAACAATGAATAAAAGTAATACATCAGGATCTCAAACTGCAAGGTCCTCATAACTTAATTGAATGCATTAAAGAGCGATGGAATCGGAATCCAGCTCGAGAATAAGCGCCTCAATCACCCTCATAGCCCAGCTCAAAGAATGAACACGGGCTGTCTGTTCCCAATCAACTCACTTTTCGACACTTGCACATCCTTTTTGTCGAAGTCGTGCAACATCAACCAACAAATCATCCTAAATACAAGTGTATACCATATTGCCAGACGCTGCATCTCAATATGGTTGGGTACTATCGTCTCCCACTGTGGCAGCTCTGACAACTTGCTTGGCTGCGGAAGTTCCGGCTGATCACCAGGTTGCTCAGTTTCGATGCGATGAGGCCACGTCTTGACCCTGCTGATGCCGGGCGTGGGCGTCGAGTCGTCTAGAGCCTTGGTTGGAGACTCTCCGGGGTTAAGTCTCAACGGCGACGGAGGGACTGCGCTGCCGGCTTGGGGTGAGCCGTTACCCAAGCGGGATCTTCGTTTCTCTGTGTCGTCGTGTATGGCTCTTGAAACGACCTCGTCGTCTCGCTTGCCCCTCTTGGTAGAGTTGGTAGGCACTACACGCCATAGTATGCGCTCGAAGTATGTTTCCATGAACCTTTGTTCTCTCATCTCCAAAGGGATACCAAGCAGGTCCCGAAACGAAATCTGTTCTTTTCCCCTTTTGTCCGGACTGTTGATGGCTGCCAACACTTCCTGGAGGTGACGACGTAGCACATCGAGCACGATTCCCTGGTCTCGTTTCTTGAGAGATTTGTCTGCCATATCGATGGCTTTGTGCAAGAGACTCATTCTTTTGCTCGTTAGAGGCGGGTTCTCGTCAAAATCGTTGCTCATCTCCTCCGCTGACTCCGAAAGAGCCCTAATATCTTCGACGGCAGTTTCAACCCTCTCATCGATGACAGTCTCCGCCTCTTCTTCAACAACCGTGAGATCGTTCATCAACAGTCCGCTAAAAGCGATGAGCAGACGCTGGAGTGACAACGAATCTCTGTCCCAAGAGAAGATTGTTGGATTGGGCAGGAAACGGAAGCATCTTCCTTCAATGTGCAAAACTCGGGCGAGCATGCCGATGACCTCGAAGGTAACTGCCTAAAAGTCAGTCGAACATGCGCAAACTCCCACAGATTCACTCGATTAACTGATTACATACCAGAAAAGAGGTGCCGGTCTTTCTTTCCTTCTCTGTAGAAGAGCGTGGTTTTGCCGTTGCATCCTATCTGGGTCAAAGTCTCCGCAATGGCATCGCGAGTGCTCAGTTGAAGGATTTCGACCTTGGTTCCAGTTCCCGACGACGTTTTGAACTCCCTCTGCCACTCCAAGTCTTCGTCGGGATCCTTCTTAACTCGATAGAAAGTTGGCACTCGCCCAAAACAGAGCTCCTTCACTTCAGATGTCGGAATCACTCGTCGCTCCTCAAATACAGTGGGACCAGTTTTCTCAAAAACAAAGACGACGCCCAAGTCGGGTACACGTGAGCCAGTCAGACTATAGCCATTTCCTTCCGCGCGGTACTGGTTGTTGTCTCGGTCGAAGACTCTCCAATAGAGTCCAAGTATTGCTGCTAGCTCGACCAGATGAGAGATCGTAGAGGTTGCATAGGGCTTCTTGATGGAGGGGTTCGCATCGAAGCTTCTTTCCTTCGCCTGTACTTTCACGGCCAAAGTCGGCTCAGGCAGGTCCGGGATGATGGAACTTGGCAACCATTCCCCTTGGAGCTTCTTGCACTCCCATTCTTTGGAATCCTTCTCCATTCTTTCAAGGGCGATTAGGAGATAGACCCATGTTGCTAGCTCGTTGTTGACAGTGTGGACCTTTTCAGTAGGCTTAGACGGCTTTTCGTCGTTGGTTCCGTTGGCTGGTCCAGGGTTTGGGAATATCTTGGCATATTCGAGTCGGTTCTTGGTACAACTTTTCTCAGTGCCCTCCACGGACCACATCTCTCCTTTTTCAGGTTTATTCTGGTTGTTTGGGGGGGCTAGAAAGATGATTGGCGCCTCGAACCTAACCTCGAGACGTAGCTCCTTGAACTTTGGCCGTTTTGTCGTGCCTTTCGCCCATCCTCCCATCACGTCTTCGGTGCAATTGGGAAGCCCTTTAGCCGACGCAAAGATCGCTTGCATGATCTGTAGAGTCGCTGCAAAGAGAGCGACCACCGAGACGACGAGAGCAACAATCGCAACAACTACGTCGCTCCCTCCGTTAGCATTGCCATTGCTGTTGCTATTGTCGCTTGGGCTATTACTGGAATTGCTGTCGGCCATCTTGACAGATGTTCACCCCGTGAAACACCACGTAAAGAAATGACGAGTGCGACAGAGACCATCAAAGTCCGAAGTCCTCGCCAAGAATCCTATTCCATACGGCTGGGATTGAGAATGAGATCGGTGATGCTACCCCGCCGAGGAAGATTCCGTTGATCACCGGCAGAAGTGGGTCGCAAGTGGACGAGCCGGCGCCGGAGTTGTGAGCACGTGGACGGCGGCGACTAGCCGTGTCTAAGACCAAATGTCGGTGAAGGGTGTCTGGTAGTTTAAAGGACCATTGTTTCGACTGGAGACGACGTTCTCATCGAGAACGAGACATAAGTAAATAGATTAACGAAGCGGAAAAGTCGAGGACGAGGCTTTGGTGAACTACCGCAATTGATGATTTTGCGACGGTTCGCCCCGTCTCACAGGATTCGAGCTGCAGGTGAAGGCCGCTTATGCGGCATCCCTGGAAATGCGCATCATGAGGTCCAGCTCAGCCCATGGCGCAGCCCAAAACAGTCGGAAAGGGACACCGCGGATGTACGGATTTTGCGGCCTGCGTAGACTGCCTGATAAGCAACAACAAGAAAGTGTGCCATTGGTGGTCTTCTTCTGCGAGAGACTAGCCGTATAACCAATAATTCTGCCCGTCAACACAGGTGCGTCATCATGTCTTAACCATTGGGCAGAGTTCAATTGGAGAAGCTGGCAACTGTCACATCTCACCAACAGCACTCTTCTGGCTCAAGGAGCAGGCTACGCAGAGCCTCCTTTCTCGCATGGAGACCTGAAGGCTCTCGCTGCGGGCCTCAGTTGCGTGCGAATTTGCTCATTGGAGTCTGCCTGACCAACCTGTCGCACATCAGACGTCATAAGCCATCTTTGATTTCTGACTCAGAAGCCGGCCGACAATACCGATCGGCCCACTGGACCCAATGCCCGACGCATTCTCTGCCAACCCCTTGATTTCGGTCAACTTGCGATGACCAAAATCAGGTTGAAAGAAAATATTCAGGTGCCTTCCACTTTTTTGAGATTGGTGGTTTGGAGTTGAGTAGAGCGTTGTTGTACTGAAGGGTTGAACCCTGGCGAGCGGTTCGTCTGATGCTTTCGGGATATAAGGGAGTCTGTGCATAGTGTTATGCGGGATGACGGGGCCATGCCTCCATTTCAGAAGAATAACTATGAAGACATCTCCGGCAGCAGCATCCTAGCGACACATCAATCAAAGTTGGCAATCATAAAGATGGTATGCTAATCATGGGTCGCCTTTGCGGCCTGGGAAGGAAGCAGGAAACTGTTCCCTTGAGAGGGACACGAATATGAAATTTGGAATCTTGAGCGTCATTATGTGTCTCAATTCGTGGTATTCTGGCTACTTAGATTTCAAACAAAGAAAATTACGCTTCGTTAGTTCTTCAATATTCCATGCTGACTCGAGTGATTTGATGCACTCTCCAAATCATCAGGGAGATGCTCGTAGGGCCCGGCCTTGCGATCTGTGTCTTGCCTGAATTCCGACACAATCACCTCTTTTGTTTGCATGATTCCCTCCATGGGGCCCAGCTTGCGTCGTGTGCTCATGGCATAAGCCTCCTCCTCTGCATTTCCGCGCCGGACGGTGGACCGATGCGTAGAGACATTAGTCCCTCGACCATAATAGTGCAGTCCCGATGTTCCGCCGTGAGATTTCGACGATGACTTTGCTTGCCTCCTCTTGTTCCACAATCCGTACAGTGTCGGCGCGTTGACCACGATCGCGGCGGTGAGCAGTTCGGTGCTAGCCCATGTCGTTCGGTTGATTTGACTGTCCTTGTTCGTAATGTTGATCGGAAGTCGAATGACGGTAATGGCGATGATGAAGACGCCGAGCGTGAAGAGGGCGTACAGCTGAATCTTGCGTTGCCATGGCGTCTTCAAGGAGAAGACCAGGGGAAGTGGTAGTACGAGTAGCATAAAGTCGGTGACGATGTTGAGGACACCGACGACGACGAGTTGCATTTGTGCCTTTGAGCATGCGCCTGCAAGGGTTGAGAGTCAATAATCAGAGTTCGTTCCATCCCATCGGCATGTCTTGCATGTTCGGAGAATTGGCTAGTCACGTACCTGGGTCAGGAACAACCTGCCAGTAGAGATGGAAGGGATTGCATTCGCTGAACGTCGTCACCTGGCAGGCGACGTAGGTGCAGAAGAAGATGATGGAAAATGACCAGATGGTGATCTTCTCGAAACGAAGATTCAATAACAGTCGACGATAGACATCCAACAGGACGAGCTTCTGAAGCCAGAGGCTTGGGAGAATGTCAGTATGATTGATCGTAAAAGTCTAATAACCTTCCTGACTCAAACCGCTGCAGATTGTGACCAAACGGCCCAAAGGAGCGCTGAAGTCCAGGGTGGTTGAGGGTGCACGGTGAAGCAAATGGGGGCGGCACTGACTAGGAGTTGTAAAAGACCCGGTTCACAATGGACAGTTTGCTGCCGATCTCCCGCCTGTAGATCTCCTCGTCGGTAAACGTGTGATTCTTTCGATATGCCGCCGAGACGTTGTTCGTGCCCCAAGTCAAGACGACGTGGATGAGGCCGAGCCGCGTCAGAGCGCAGATAATGGCGGCGACTGTGAACCAGTCGCCCAGGTTGTATTCCTGTCTGGAGATGTGCACCTTTTTCCAGACCAGCCGAGCCACCATGATAATAAGAGCCAAGCAGCTAAAGAGCCAATGGATAAGTAGCGTCGGGTCGTCCATGGCCGGCGAGTGTCCGAGGCTCCGGGGGGGGTCGACGAGACGATGGGACGGGACGGAGACAAGACAAGACAAGAGACGAAAAAGAGAGACGACGGAAAAAAAGGAGCCTCTCGAGAAGAGGAGCGCAGATTCGGGGGCAGATCATGAACATTATTATCTTCTCGGTTTCACGTCTACGTACTCATCGCACTAAGGTAGGGGAGAATAGGGGGCCTTGCTAGCTTGATACGCAAAGTCTCCCGATCCCAGCTTGCCCGAGGTACTGACCTGCTGTGTGAAAGGACCATCATACCATTCTCAGAAATGTTTGCGGGCGTGACCAGTCTCTGGGGAGTCTGGGACCTTGCCAATGCTTGTAGAGCGGCCAGAGCCTTGCAGAGAAAAGAGAAAAAAGATGGTCCTAGATGAAAGGATCAGGGCTTGAGACCTCCGGAGTTTGGATGCTGCGAACCCCAACTTTCCCTGGTGGTGGTTCGGATGCACGTCGGCTGTCGAGGAATCTCCATAAGATGTGTGATTGCGATGATCCACCGTGGGGCTCTTCCTCGCAGCAGAGACGCAGCTTGTGCGGCACGTACTCTTTCGTCTGTGTGGTCTGTCGACTTCTAGAAGCCGAGGAGGGCCGATTTGCGAGAGCCTGAGAGGAGACGTCTGGAATCTTGACCCAGATTCGCCTGTGCCGCTGTGCCGCTGAAGATTTGCTGCAGGATTTAGAGATGCCGAGGGAACAGGTGGAGCGCCAAAAGTCTTGCGTTGTAATTGTTCAGGTACATTCTGGACAGCCGATATTGATAGAAGTTTGTTTTGTTTGAGTTTGACAGCTTGACAGTGACAACTTTTTGTTTTTGCGCTCAGATGTTCTCAACGGCTACCAACGACGGGAGCGATTGCTTAGCCGATCGAATCCCAACTCAATACGGACGTTTGCTAGTCTCCTTCGACTGCTTTCAACGAACTTCACTGAACTGAGTCTAGCGGCGGCGGGCGGCGTCGAACTTTACGAGTTTCTCACCGGCTGGGGGGTTTATCGGAGCAAAAAAGCTCACCGTGAAGAGAACGGGAATGGGCTGACCGTTGGTCCGCCGGCTGCTAGCATCACAGCACTAGTAAGTGCCGCCACAGTCGTATTACACGTATACTTCAATGGTCCCCCTCCTCCAGGATTCAAGGCCGGGTTAGACGGGCTTGGCAGCCTGTTGAAGGTCGTCCAGGATGGTGAGATGTACCTACGGATAATGGATATTGTTGTGCAGACCCGATTTATTCAAGACCCAAAGATCACAATAGTGGGAAGAATGCCGGGTTTGCGAGATCATCGTAATCAGGACTTCGCCCCGCCGCTAGTTTGAGTTGATCAACCGAGTCCCCCCCACGTTACGTTGAAGCGATTTACGGTAATAAGAATGTCGTCTTTGGGTCTCTTGGCTTTCCGCTGCCCGGCACATGGCTTTGACAGAATATTGACGGAACTTAGCCCCCAAACATGCCACATAGGGTCAGATTTCCTGCCTCAAGAATTGGCAAGAGTCAGTCACCTCGTCCGGAAACGTTCTCTGCCTGTCTTTTCTGAGGCTTTCTCTGCTCAATGGCGGAGATTAATGCTCGGGCTTGATCCGTAGTCAGCGGCCTAGTGGTAGACTAATATCCACGATGCCGGACTGATGCAACACTTGCTCCATTCTATATGAGACCATCGGGCGTGGTAGTCCCCCGGTCCCTGTCCGCCCGCTGACTCGCGCACAGAACACCACTCTAATATGAGCCGACTTGCTCTTGTTGATGGAGAAAATTTCTGGCAGAGCAAGCTGTTCGCGGCGGTGCGCCTCCTTTTGCGGCTTGCCTCTGTCCCGCCCCCCCGACTTCCGCCGTGATATCATCTCGTCCGCTGGGACCGCTGGGCCACAGCCCATCTCGACGGTCCTCGCTAGAGATCGGGACCTAGCCGCGTGGCGTTCTTGTTCTCGACCTTTCGGCTGACTGCCGCTCTTCAGACACACAGACCGAAGCGGGTGGATGCCGCTCGCCGGGCCCCCCAAGGCGCCCAAGGTCTCCAAGACCGGGCTTAATGTCGTATCACCCTTCCACGCCTCCATTCCTTGATTGTTCTTCTCCATCAGCCCTATCTTAAAATCACTCGAGGATGGACCCTTTATGCCAGGCTAGCGGAGCACGCGGCAAGGTGATTTTCATTCATTAAAGAAGTCCCAATTGCCACCCTCCCGTACCGCGTGGCCCAAAGTTTAATCCCCTGCTCAACCGCTGTCG